TATAAGCTGGTTCCCAACAGCAAATCGCCTCTCTCCACGCCGCTGGGTAACCAAAGGGAACATCATTGGATGATACAGCTTGGCACCAGTGACGTCGCAGGAGTTGTCGGAATGTTTCATTGTATCAATGTTATCCGCCTTTCGGGACTGCATCTCCTGGTTTGATTTCAGAGTTTCCTTCTCTTAGATGAGTTGCCGTCCAAGGTTAACGAGTCCCATCTACCCGGGGTGCTGGTGGTGTCTTTGCTCTAGCTGGAATTGAACTCCAGACCACCAACTTGAGATTTGCTCAGTTTAGACCACTCGGCCACCCAGCACCCCAGACGTGAATATAATTACCCCTTAGACAGAATGAAGCCATCGAACCTTTAAGGTAGAGCCGGGTTAGTAACATTTGGGAGGTTCTTAAGTGATTGGGCTCGTTAGAGAGGACCACATCGTGTGAGTGTATGCTGATTGTCCTGGACCACATCGTGTGAGTGTATGCTGATTGTCCTGGACCACATCGTGTGAGTGTATGCTGATTGTCCTGGACCACATCGTGTGAGTGTATGCTGATTGTCCTGGACCACATCGTGTGAGTGTATGCTGATTGTCCTGGACCACATCGTGTGAGTGTATGCTGATGGTCCTGGACCACATCGTGTGAGTGTATGCTGATTGTCCTGGACCACATCGTGTGATTGTATGCTGATTGTCCTGGACCACATAGTGTGATTGTATGCTGATGGTCCTGTGACTGCTATGAGAGTTAACTGCTGTACTGCATCCCGATTGAGCTGTTTTTACTATATCCTGCCGTGCCTGCATGTTCTTGTAGCTGTGTTCTGCTAGTCCTGTATCCTGCCATGCCTGCATGTTCTTGTATCTGTGTTCTGATGGCCCAGTATCCTGCCCTGCCTGCATGTTCTTGCATCTGTGTTCAGCTGTCCATTAACCTGCCGTGCCTGCATGTTCTTGTATCTGTGTTCTGCTGGTCCAGTATCCTGCCGTGCCTCCATGCTCTTGTATATGTGTTCTGCTGGCCCAGTATCCTGCCGTGCCTGCATGCTCTTGTATCTGTGTGCTGCTTGTCCTGTATCCTGCCGTACCTGCATGCTCTTGTATCTGTGTGCTGCTTGTCCTGTATCCTGCCGTACCTGCATGCTCTTGTATCTGTGCGCTGCTTGTCCTGTATCCTGCCGTACCTGCATGCTCTTGTATCTGTGTGCTGCTTGTCCTGTATCCTGCTGGGTTTGTATCCTGCTGTCCAGCATCCGGGTTGAGCGGGCTTTACGCTATCCTGTCGTGCCTGGATTCTGCTGTATCTGTGAACTTCTTGTTTCCCTAGGCTGATAATCTAGACAGATTCGCCTGTTTCCATAAGCTGATTATCTAGACAGCAATCACCTGTTTCCATAAGCTGGTTATCTAGACATCAGTCACCTGTTTCCATAAGCTGGTTATCTAGACATCAATCGCCTGTCCCCATTTAGATCCACTTAATTCAAAGCAGCATATAATATGTATTACGAAAACAAGTATTTACTAGTGTTGCAATGAAACAAATAATGAACTAAAAGTTTTATTTAAGAATATTTGATCGGAAAACCAATACCAAATTAGTTGACGTAAATGGCTGGCCATAGATTTTTAAACCGTCCTTATCCTTCAGTTTTTGTTACTAGCCAAGCGGCAATCTGGATGGAACAAGGTTACAAAGCTGAACTAGCTTAAATGTGTTCACTGTACAGTAATATTATCATGATCTCATGAGTTCAATAAATAAGTTATCGAAACGAAATGCTGTTATATTTGCACTGTAATAATAAATATGTTTTATATTTATATTTGTATGTAATAAAAAGCAAGAAATTTAAGAAAACATTTATGAATCAATTTAAAGATATTTCTCAAAGTCTGTGAGCAAATACGTCTCTAGTGATTGGCTGTTTGAACCAGATGAATCAATAAGATCTGTAGTAGAGATTGTGAGGTAAATACTGATTTCCCTTATGTCAAACTTTGGCTCTCTTTGAGTGTTAAATGCTTTTTAAAAAAATATTAGGGTAAACATTGGTATCAAATCTAAAAGCACTTTAAAAAATTTAAAATTTGGTTTGGAAAGTAGACATAATTCTTTTTATGTATCTTCAATATTCAATAAATAAAACTCTGTTATACTCAAATAGTAAACTAAAAATGGACATTTATGAAAGCACTAGAATAAAAGTAAGAATTTCCATTTCAAACTTATTTACAAATAAAATCTTCACGGAAAAGTTTGTATAGAACTGTTGACCATCTTCAGAAGGCGTCTATATATCCTTGTGCCTGTAATGACGATACTATGACGTAGAGCACCCACATGACCAGCGCTATCATCCCCGTCAGGTACTTGAAGGTCTTGGGTCCCCCCAGTTCAGCCTTGCCAAAAATAGGAAACTGTCGCCGAGCAACAAGCATTATTATAAGCAAGATGGCGCCGACAGTGAAGATGGTGACACTCAGGCCCAAAGTTCCCGTCGGATGGTGGAATTCTTTACCCTGGTCAAATACAAGATTTGTTATTAAAGGGACGGTGGAATTCCTTACCCTGGTCAAATACATTACGTGTCATTTAACGCATAGTTTAATTCTTTACCCTGGTCAAATACAAGATGTGACCTTAAAAGGATGGTGGAATTCTTTAACCTGGTCAAATACAAGATGTGACCTTAAATGGATGGTGGAATTCTTTAACCTGGTCAAATACAAGATGTGACCTTAAATGGATGGTGGAATTCTTTAACCTGGTCAAATACAAGTTGTGACCTTAAATGGATGGTGGAATTCTTTACCCTGGTCAAATACAAGATGTGTCATTTAACGTGTCTATAGAGACATATAGAGGCAAACCTATCAATGTTAATGCTCAAAGTTCTAAAAAAACACGAATATATTGAACCATTTTCTCCAAACTACAAATTAAATAACTTTAGATCACCCACTGCAGCAAGGTCAGAATTTAAATTCAGAAATAACGTTCTAAAAAAGACATCCAGCAAAGCCAATATACATTGTATCTATCAATAGACGCACTGCCAATATACATTGTATCTATCAATAGACGCACGGCCAATATACATTGTATCTATCAATAAACGCACGGTCAATATACATTGTTTCTATCAATAGACGCACAGCCAATATACATTGCATCTATCAATAGACGCACGGCCAATATACATTGCATATATCAATAGACGCACGGCCAATATACATTGTATCTATCAATAGACGCACGGCCAATATACATTGTATCTATCAATAGACGCACGGCCAATATACATTGTATCTATCAATAGACGCACGGCCAATATACATTGTATCTATCAATAGACGCACGCCATCAAAGTATTTAGAGAAAAATAGATGCTTCATTACATAAGAAAATCTCTTGTGCGCAATAAACGTGAATTACCTCCCTTAGTCCTTATACAAGAAATGTTTGGACAATGTTACCCCATAGTAGAATAGAATACTGTTAAGAAACAAACGAAACCATGAAAACCTTATAGTAAGTACACCAGGAAGAAACGAAATACCAGCTTATTCCTTCAATAGACAAACTCAGAAATTAATTCCTAACTTAGTCCTTCAATAAACAAAGACATCTAATTCCAACTTAGTCCGCCAATAGACACAAACAAAGACAACAATGTTTACCTTTCTCCTTCAAAGACAAAAGTGTCTACCCTAGTCGTCCAATGGACAAAAACATTAATTTCTACCTTAGTCCTTCAATAGACAAAGACATTAATTTCTACCTAAAATACCCAGTAAACAAAGACATTAATTCTACCCCAATTATCCATAAGACCTGCACAACGACACCAATTCTTAACTTAACCTTCCACTAGACAAAGACATCATTCTTACTTTATTATTACTATAGACACACTAAAAGATATCAATTCTTACCTTATTATTTCAATGGACAAGATATCAATACTTACCTTAATCTTCCAATAGACACACACACAGACACCAATTCTAAACTTATTCTTCCAATAGACAAGACACCAATTCTTACCTTAGCCTTCAAAAAGATAACACACCAATTCTTAACTTAGCATTCCAATAGACAAGACACCAATTCTTACCTTAGCCTTCCAATAGACAAGACACCAATTCTTTCCTTAGCCTTCCAATAGACAAGACACCGATTCTTACCTTAGCCTTCCAATAGACAAGACACCAATTCTTACCTTAGCCTTCCAATAGACAAGACACCAATTCTTAACTTAGCCTTCCAATAGACAAGACACCAATTCTTACCTTAGCCTTCGAAAAGACAAGACTATTATTTCTTACCTTAACCTTCCAGTAGACAAGACACCAATTCTTACCTTAGCCTTCCAGTAGACAAGACATCAATTCTTACCTTAGTCTTCCAATAGACAAGACACCAATTCTTACCTTAGCCTTCAAAAAGACAAGACACCAATTCTTACCTTAGCCTTCCAGTAGACAAGACACCAATTCTTACTTTAGCCTTCAAAAAGACAAGACATCAATTCTTACCTTAGCCTTCCATTAGACAAGACACCAATTCTTACCTTAGCCTTCAAAAAGACAAGACACCAATTCTTACCTTAGCCTTCCAATAGACAAGACACCAATTCTTAACTTAGCCTTCCAATAGACAAGACATCAATTCTTACCTTAGTCTTCCAATAGAAAAGACAGCAATTCTTACCTGAGCCTTCCCATAGACAAGACACCAATTCTTACCTTAGTCTTCCAATAGACAAGACACCGATTCTCACCTTAGCCTTCCAATAGATAGACACCAATTATTACCCTAGTCTTCCAATAGACAAGACACCAATTCTCACCTGAGCCTTCCAATAGACAAGACACAAATTCTCACCTGAGCCTTTCAATAGACAAGATACCAATTCTTACCTGGCCTTCCAATAGACAAGACACTATTCTTACCTTAGCCTTCCTATAAACAAGACACCAATTCTTACCTTAGCCTTCCAATAGACAAGACATAAATTCTTAACTTAGTCTTCCAATAGACAAGACACCAATTCTTACCTGAGCCTTGCAATAGACAAGAAACCAAATCTAACTTATTATTTTAATAGACAAGACACCAATTCTTACCTTAGCTTTTCAATAGACAAGTCACCAATTCTTAGCTTTGCCTTCCAATAGACAAGACACCATTTCTTACCTGAGCCTTAAAATAGACAAGATACCAATTCTTACCTTATCCTTCCAATAGACAAGACACCAATTCTTACCTGAGCCTTCCAATAGACAAGACATTAATTCTTACTTTAGTCTTCCAATAGACAAGACACCGATTCTTACCTTAGCTTTCCAATAGACAAGACACCGATTCTTACCTTAGCCTTCCAATAGACAAGACATCAATTCTTAACTGAGCCTTCCAATAGACAAGACACCAATTCTTACCTTAGTCTTCCAATAGACAAGACACCAATTCTTACCTTAGTCTTCCAATAGACAAGTCACCAATTCTTACCTTAATCTTCCAATAGAAAAGACACCAATTCTTACCTTAGTCTTCCAATAGACAAGACACCAATTCTTACCTTAGCCTTCCAATAGACAAGACACCAATTCTTACCTTAGTTTTCCAAAAGACAAGACAGCAATTCTTACATGATCCTTCCAATAGACAAGACAACAATTCTTCCTTAGTCTTGCAATAGACAAGAAACCAATTCTTAACTTAATCTTCCAGTAGACAAGACATCAATTCTTACCTTAGTCTTCCAATAGACAAGACACCAATTCTTACCTTAGCCTTCAAAAAGACAAGACACCAATTCTTACCTTAGCCTTCCAGTAGACAAGACACCAATTCTTACTTTAGCCTTCAAAAAGACAAGACATCAATTCTTACCTTAGCCTTCCATTAGACAAGACACCAATTCTTACCTTAGCCTTCAAAAAGACAAGACACCAATTCTTACCTTAGCCTTCCAATAGACAAGACACCAATTCTTAACTTAGCCTTCCAATAGACAAGACATCAATTCTTACCTTAGTCTTCCAATAGAAAAGACAGCAATTCTTACCTGAGCCTTGCAATAGACAAGAAACCAAATCTAACTTATTATTTTAATAGACAAGACACCAATTCTTACCTTAGCTTTTCAATAGACAAGTCACCAATTCTTAGCTTTGCCTTCCAATAGACAAGACACCATTTCTTACCTGAGCCTTAAAATAGACAAGATACCAATTCTTACCTTATCCTTCCAATAGACAAGACACCAATTCTTACCTGAGCCTTCCAATAGACAAGACACCGATTCTTACTTTAGACTTCCATTAGAAAAGACACAAATTCTTACCTTAGTCTTCCAATAGACAAGACACCGATTCTCACCTTAGCCTTCCAATAGATAGACACCAATTATTACCCTAGTCTTCCAATAGACAAGACACCAATTCTCACCTGAGCCTTCCAATAGACAAGACACAAATTCTCACCTGAGCCTTTCAATAGACAAGATACCAATTCTTACCTGGCCTTCCAATAGACAAGACACTATTCTTACCTTAGCCTTCCTATAAACAAGACACCAATTCTTACCTTAGCCTTCCAATAGACAAGACATAAATTCTTAACTTAGTCTTCCATTAGACAAGACACCAATTCTTACCTTAGCCTTCAAAAAGACAAGACACCAATTCTTACCTTAGCCTTCCAATAGACAAGACATCAATTCTTACCTTAGTCTTCCAATAGAAAAGACAGCAATTCTTACCTGAGCCTTCCCATAGACAAGACACCAATTCTTACCTTAGTCTTCCAATAGACAAGACACCAATTCTTACCTTAGCCTTCAAATAGACAAGACACCAATTCTTACCTTAGCCTTCCAATAGACAAGACACCAATTCTTACCTGAGCCTTCCAATAGACAAGACATTAATTCTTACTTTAGTCTTCCAATAGACAAGACACCGATTCTTACCTTAGCTTTCCAATAGACAAGACACCGATTCTTACATTAGCCTTCAAATAGACAAGACACCAATTCTTACCTTAGCCTTCCAATAGACAAGACATCAATTCTTAACTGAGCCTTCCAATAGACAAGACACCAATTCTTACCTTAGTCTTCCAATAGACAAGACACCAATTCTTACCTTAGTCTTCCAATAGACAAGACACCAATTCTTACCTTAGTCTTCCAATAGACAAGACACCAATTCTTACCGTAGTCTTACAATAGACAATACACAAATTCTTACCTGAGTCTTCCAGTAGACAAGACACAATTCTTACCTTATTCTTCAAATAGTTTAATCACCTATTGTTACCTTAATCTTTGAATAGACAAGTCACCAATTCTTACCTGAATCTTCCAATAGACAAGACACAATTCTTACCTGAGACTTCCAATAGACAAGACACATATTCTCACCTGAGCATTCCAATAGACAGGACACCAATTCTCACCTGAGCCTTCCAATAGACAAGAAACCAATTCTCACCTGAGCCTTCCAATAGACAAGTCATCAATTCTCACCTTAGCCTTCCAATAGACAAGACACCAATTCTCACCTGAGCCTTCCAATAGACAAGACACTAATACTCACCTGAACTCTCCAATAGACAAGACACCAATTCTTTCATGAGCATTCCAATAGACAAGACACCAATTCCCACCTTAGCCTTCCAATAGACAGAGAACAATTATTACTCTAGTCTTTCAATAGACAAGACACCAATTCTCACCTTTTCTTCCAATAGACAAGACACCAATTCTTACTTTAGTTTTAGTTTTCCAATAGACAAGACACCAATTCTAACCTTAGTTTTCCAATAGACAAGACACCATTCTTACCTTAACCTTCCAATAGACAAGACACAAATTCTTACCTTACTCTTCCAATAGACAAGACACCAATTCTTACCTTAGTCTTCCAATAGACAAGACACCAATTCTTACCTTAGTCTTCCAATAGACAAGTCACCAATTCTTACCTTAATCTTCCAATAGAAAAGACACCAATTCTTACCTTAGTCTTCCAATAGACAAGACACCAATTCTTACCTTAGCCTTCCAATAGACAAGACACCAATTCTTACCTTAATCTTCCAATAGAAAAGACACCAATTCTTACCTTAGTCTTCCAATAGACAAGACACCAATTCTTACCTTAGCCTTCCAATAGACAAGACACCAATTCTTACCTTAGCTTTCCAATAGACAAGACTGCAATTCTTACATGATCCTTCCAATAGACAAGACAACAATTCTTCCTTAGTCTTGCAATAGACAAGAAACCAATTCTTAACTTAATCTTCAAATAGACAAGACACCAATTCTCACCTGAGCCTTCTTATAGACAAGACACCAATTCTCACCTGAGCCTTCCATTAGACAAGACAGCAATTCTCACCTGAGCCTTCCAATAGACAAGACACTAATTCGTAGCTGAGCCTTCCAATAGACAAGACAGCAATTCTCACCTGAGCCTTCCAATAGACAAGACACCAATTCTTACCTGAGCCTTCCAATAGACACATGCTAACAGCCAAGGTAGCCCCAGACCCAGGAACACATTGACGCTGTTGCTGCCGTTGATGTTACCAATTGACGAGTCTGCCCACTTCTCATTAATGGCGGCACTTTTGGAAGCAAACGTATCTGGCATGCTGGTACCCATGGCAACAAATGTAATAGCTGGAATATTACGTTAACAGTTGACTACTACAATATAAGTTCACAATTGTCAAACTGGCTTCGTGCTACATAAGCATGTAAACTTAAGTAGAAATCAATGACAGCGCATGCGTGCTGAAGAATGCCCTTTAATGGCAATTTCCCAAAAGCCACGACAAGTAAATAAATCTGCAAAGAGATCCCTTTTTACATTATTAAACAGCTGTAGATAAATGGATTATTATGATAGATCTGTTATTGAATTCAAAATATTTTTAAAATAGTGAATAAACTTTGAATAAAAAATCATTCTGATTATATTATGTCTTTAAGAATAGTTCATTGTATACGTTGAACAACAATTTTTCAGGGTTTCGGAAACAAAAGATATGAAGACATCTTAAACATAGAGATGTTCCAAATACACATTTTCATATAATAATACTATGTCGTCCGCGATGAAATATATGGTATAACCAGTTGCGTTACAAAAATATAAAATTAAACTCATTATGAGATATGAGATTTGGAACAAAAGAATTTATAAAAACTTATTTTTTAAGAAACACTGATCTATTAAAATGCACTGACAAGTTAAAATGAAATATTGTTGACAAAAATGAAATCGTGACAATAGAATATTATGAAGAAGGGAGAATATTTATCCACGAGTGATGTCGGATTGAAGAGGATTATGTTATAGTTAGCAACGCAAGCACACATCATATCGTTATGTAATCTGTAATTTGGGGTGGGGCGATAGGCTATTTTTAATTTAGATTTCTGGCCACAGAGTATTTATTTCCGTGTATCATTAGTATTCATTATTATTATTAGTTGTTTTACATAGCGTTGTACCCCACACTCACTACGCTGAACATACAATTAACAAACATAATCATGAACTTAAAAGTTGGCATACATTAATAATAATAATTATAATAATAATTAGTGGTCTTATATAGCGCTGTACCCTAGCCTAGGGCTGGGCTCACCGCACTGAACATAAAACTATTATCAAAAGAGACATAATCATGACATTCAAATAAAATACATTTAGGAAATAAAGAACAGCGTGTAACCAAAACAACAATACAAATGTCTATTCACCCACCCCACCGCAGAACTTTTACATGGCAAACCATGGAAAGCAGCCCGCAAGATCGTTTATTGGTCAGAGGAGGAGAATCACTCAGGGTAGTATAATTTAAATAGATGTGTTTTGAGTTTAGTTTTGAAGGCCTGGGTGGTTGGTATATTGCGGATGTGTAGTGGCAAAGAATTCCATTGTTTGGGGGCGCAGAAAGAGAAAGATCGTTCACCATATGTCTTAGTGTGTGTCTTGAAAACGGACAGAATACGCATATCTGTGGAGGAGCGAAGCTGTCGAAGGGGTGAATAGACAGAAAGAAGTTAGGTTAGATAGGAAGGGCAGGAATTCAAGAAAAAGTTGTGACAGAGAACAGACAACTTGTAGTCAATGCGTGCCTGTATAGGTAGCCAATGAAGGGAATAGAGTAGTGGAGTGACGTGATCACGTGTTTTTTGCCTTTAGAACAAGCCTAGCAGCTGAGTTTTGAACTTTCTGCAGTTGTTCTATGCAGTGTTTTGGTGAAACTGACAGAAGAGAGTTGCAATAGTAAAGACGAGAGAGAACAAGAGCACAGATTATGGTTTTTGTTGCGCTAACTGTGAGGTAGTGGCGGATGGAGCTGATCTGACGGATAACGGTGTATGCAGAGCGACAAATGCGAGAGATATGTTTATCGACAGTCATGTTATTAGATGATGTCACCAAGACTCCTAGCGGAGGATTTACACTGTATGTCGGAGTTATTTACTTGAAATGCGGTGGGGGGGGGGGGAGCTGGGTTAGAGGCTGATTTGTGTAACTAAACAGGGAACTCAATGAATTAGAAGTTTTATGAAACTAATCAGGTAAATCAATGTGAGAGATATGTTTATCGACAGTCATGTTATTAGATGATGTCACCAAGACTCCTAGCGGAGGATTTACACTGTATGTCGGAGTTATTTACTTGAAATGCGGTGGGGGGGGGGAGCTGAGTTAGAGGCTGATTTGTGTAACTAAACAGGTAACTCAATGAATTAGAAGTTTTATGAAACTAATCAGGTAAATCAATGGATTAGAAGTTTAATGAAACTAAACAGGTAACTCAATGGATTAGAAGTTTATGAAACTAAACAGGTAGTAATAATAATAATAATTATTATAATAAAAGGTCTTATATAACGCGGTACCCCAGCCTAGTCCATGAATTAGAAGTTTTATGAAACTATGCAGGTAAATGAATGGATTAGAAGTTTCACGAAACAAAACAGGTAAATCAATGGATTAGAAGTGTATTTAAACTAAACAGGTGAGACTTAAAAGTTTAAAAAGCATACAGTATAAATTTATTTTATAGATGCAGGTAGTGACTGGAAAAAAATTCTACCTACATAGGGTTTTATTAATATTTTGAATGGCTCTGCGATATCATCTGGGCTATAAGGAACGCTATTTGCAAAAGAAAGGATAACTTGATCAGATCAATGCATTAAAAGAAAAGAATGTGGGACTTATCATACATTTCCTAACGTGGTCATTATTCCTTTTATGGAATATTAATTTGTGAGCTCATTGCTGATTGAGTATGTGATCACTTGTGCATGGGTATGTGATAATTTCTGCATGCGTGTGTTATCACTTGTGCATGAGTATGTGATATTTGTGCATACGTGTGTGACAATTAGTGTATTAGTATTTGATAATTTCTGCATCAGAATGTGATCATTTGGGCATGGTTGTGTGATCATTTATGCTTAAATATGTGATATTTATATGTGATATTTATGCATGAGTAAGTGATCATTTGGGCATGAATATGTGTTCATTTGTGCATAATATGTTAGCACAAGTGTGCACGACGAAGTATGAATTTTCAATTATCGAATTCGCAGTTCATTTCTTTGTTAAATATCACCAGCAACCAGGCTTTTGATACGATATCATAGGTCCATACACCAGGAATGGGCTCACCTGTTATATAATCTGATAGACCGACCAGACAACCAAATATGGATGCAAGGTCACTGACTATGGCCGTCAGGAGGCCAATCATCAGGAGTGAAGACAGGAACGTCGGCCAACCACCTCCCATTGAGGGCGGGGGTAAGCAAGCAAATAATACCTGAAAATGTTTAGGATTTTATTTTATTTTTTCAGTAACCGTTTTATTAATAGGACGAGCATGATAAAAAAACAAGAACAAAACATCTGGCTTCTTCTTTTAAAATCATGTGTTAATGAAATGTCTAATGTCATGTTGTATGATGAATCTGTTCTATTCCCAAGTGTGGCATCGTTGTTATTCTAGTGTGTTTTATGAAGATGTTAAAGATATTCCCTTAGCCCAACATCCATGATAAGAAGCATCATATAAAGAAATAAATATATTCATATTATCAGAAGCTTAAGACTCGAGACATATTGTCAGACAGTGTCGTTTAAGGATTATGTATCACTAATCTGTCTCATCTTAAGAACCTTTAGTAAGGGACACTATACCATGGAACGTGGTACACGTTTTACACAAAGACTGTAGGACATACGGAATTTTAAAAATATCGCTGGTTAAATTTATTTTTAAAAAATTAATATTAATCAAGAAGAACCCCAAAGCAATGAAGCGTGGTAGGTTGTGGTGGGTCGGAGTGGGTCGTAGTGGGTCTGGGTGGGTCGTGGTGGGTCGTGGCGGAACACAAATAATTTGTTTTCAAAATTTATGTTTTAATAAGAGTTGTTTATATAAAGCCTTATTTTCAAAATGGTAGTTTCGATTGTGGCACAAGTTTAATCTGTTTCACATACTCTAAAGTTATACATTTTATTTAATAGTTTTAGTTAAACATGTATAGTTCGAGGATGTGTTTATTTGTTAACTGTTTACTAAAAGAGCTTCAATAATAATGTTATGAATTCTACAATGGTAACCAGAGACCCTGGTATTTTCCCCGTCTCGATACGGTTTCAATAAGTTACGGATTTAGCTCTGAGCTCTAACCTTCCAGAAAAACGTGATGAAATGTAGGATGTAATCCACGGAGGTAGCGTCCTCCAAGTGCCCACCGTTGACGTTCAGTGCTGAGACGAACTGATCCCTCCAAGAGCCGGCGTCCAGCTTCAGGCCGTCCAGGTTTTTCTTGGTCTTACTGGCTATTCGTTTCAGCATATTATCGAATTCTGTGCAAAGTCATTTTGTTTAGTTATTACAAGCAAATAGGGTTCGGAAGTTTGAAAATAAATATAAAAACACAGTCCACTTATAAAATGACAATCCTCTTCCCACATATCACACACACACAACAAACAAATGACACACCCTCCACAAACACATCACTAATCCCTCCACAACCTCATGACACACCCACCACAAACACATCACAAAACCACCACGAACACATGACACACCCATCACAAACACATCACATACCCACCACAAACACATCACACACCCATCAAAAAACACATGACACACCCATCACAAACACATCACACACCCACCACAAACACATCACACACCCATCACAAACATATGACACACCCATTAAAAAACACATGGCACACCCATCACAAACACATCACACACCCATCAAAAAACACATGACACACTCATCACAAACACATGGCACAGCCATCACAAACACATGACACACCCATCACAAACACATGGCACACCCATCACAAACACATCACACAGCCATCAAAAAACACATGGTACACCCATCACAAACACATGGCACACCCATCACAAAAACATGACACACCCATCACAAACACATGGTACACCCATCACAAACACATCACACACCCATCACAAACACATCACACACCCATCACAAACACATCACAAACCCATCACAAACACATGACACACCCATCACAAACACATCACACACCCATCACAAACACATGGCACACACATCACAAACACATCACACACCCATCACAAACACATGACACACACATCACAAACACATGGCACACACATCACAAACACATGACACACCCATCACAAACACATCACACACCCATCACAAACACATGGCACACCCATCACAAACACATCACACAGCCATCAAAAAACACATCACACACCCATCACAAACACATGGTACACCCATCACAAACACATCACACACCCATCACAAACACATCACAAACCCATCACAAACACATGGCACACCCATCACAAACACATCAAACACCCATCACAAACACATCACACACCCATCACAAACACATGGCACACCCATCACAAACACATGGCACACCCATCACAAACACATCACACGACCATCACAAACACATGGCACACCCATCACAAACATATCACACACCCATCACAAACACATCACACACCCATCACAAACATATCACACACCCATCATGTTACATTTGTTATGTGGTTTTAAGATTCTCCTTTTTTTTTACTAATAGATTTTTGATTTAAAAAATCAATTTAAAAAACATTTATGCTGTCAAAGGGTTAAATGTTATTTTGAACTAGCTGGAGGCAGCGCAGCAACTTTGAGCGCGTAAAATATGGAAAGAGATGCATAATCTATAATAACAACTTCCTAGCTACCAATGTTTCGTTGTATTTTTTCTTTTGTGTTCATTTGATGCGTAGGATGTGGAAGCAGCGAATGAGAATGCACAATCGTGGCCAACAACATCAACCCGGGATTTCTATTATAAGATTGATGTTCTTCTTTCCGGACTTGATTTTAACATAATATTTGAAAAAAAAGACCAAAAGAGAGAGAGAGAGAGAGGAGTGGGTGGGAGGGAGTGGAATGGTAGTTAGAAGGGAGGTAAGGAGGGAGGTAATTAGGGAGGCTTGAGGGGGGAGTGTGTGCGAGAGAGAGAGAGATAGAAAGATGATGTTAATGTTTAACGGCAGTTAATTTGTTAGGATGTAGTCGGCATTACGATGAGACCACCTCTTATGACAGTAATTGTTTATTGACTTCGAAAGACAACAATAAGAGAAAGCATGTGATAATGGAGGCCAATATGTTTAATATTTAATAAACCATATAAGGCTTTTAGTTTACTTTTTTTTTTTTAAATTTTCTTGTATTTACTTGTTCATAGTCAAGGTCCGCCACTACTAAACATACCTTTTAACGTCTTTTGCATATTTTAAACCCGATAAGTGCTTTATCTCATTGGAATATACCCAAGTTGAATGTACACCGCTCAATAGTTTCTTTACTAAACTGTCAACTATACTAAACATCCCTCCCTAAACATTTCATGACAAAAAGTTTCAGTATTGACTTTTCGTAAACTCTTCCTTCGGAAAGCCCGGGCGTCAGACCTGGGTTATTTCTTAAAATAACAAGCCAAGGTAATGAAGTTACCCATGTGTAGCAAGCCCAGGTAATGGAAGTTATCCTTGTGTAACAAGCCCAGGTAATGGAAGTTACCCTTGTGTAACAAGCCCAGGTAATGGAATTTACACTTGTGTAACAAGCCCATGAAATGGAAGTTTCCCTTCGAAAGGAGTCATGTCTGGGGCATGTCAGGTGTCAGATATGAGGCATGTCAGGAGTCAGGCCTGGGGCATGGCACGAGTCAGAACTGGAGCATGAGAGGAGTCAGACCTGGGAAACGGCTAGCGAAAATCGCATTTGTGTATTTTATGGAGCTCTCCTGGTTGTCTCAATCGGCCTTTTATGATGTTTTTGTTTATTGGATAATAAATGCCTAACTAAAGCAATCGATTAGGAGTAACGCATTGTCGCACGCATGTCGTAAACAAGCGGTGACACAAGGGATGTCCGACTTATAAATATCTTTAACTAGCGGTGACACAAGGGATGTCCGGCTTATAAATATCTTTAACTAGCGGTGACACAAGGGATGTCCGGCTTATAAATATCTTTAACTAGCGGTGACACAAGGGATGTCCGGCTTATAAATATCTTTAACTAGCTGTGACACAAGGGATGTCCGGCTTATAAATATCTTTAACTAGCTGTGACACAAGGGATGTCCGGCTTATAAATATATTTAACTAGCGGGGACACAAGGGATGTCCGGCTTATAAATATATTTAACTAGCGGGGACACAAGGGATGTCCGGCTTATAAATATATTTAACTAGCGGAGACACAAGGGATGTCCGGCTTATAAATATATTTAACTAGCGGGGACACAAGGGATGTCCGGCTTAAAAATATATTTAACTAGCGGAGACACAAGGGATGTCGGCTTGTAAATATCTTTTACTAGCGGGGACACAACGGATGTCCGGCTTATAAATATCTTTTACTAGCGGGGTCACAACGGATGTCCGGCTTATAAATATCTTTTACTAGCGGGGACACAAGGGATGTCCGGCTTATAAATATCTTTTACTAGCGGGGACACAAGGGATGTCCGGCTTATAAATATCTTTAACTGGCGGGGACACAAGGGATGTTCGGCTTATAAATATCTTTCACTAGCGGGGACACAAGGGATGTTCGGCATATAAATATCTTTCACTAGCTGGTCAGAAGGGATGTTCGGCATATAAATATCTTTCACTAGCGGGTCAGAAGGGATGTTCGGCATATAAATATCTTTCACTAGCGGGTCAGAAGGGATGTTCGGCATATAAATATCTTTAACTAGCGGGAACACAAGGGATGTTCCGCTTATAAATATATTAAACTAGCGGGGACACACGTGATGTCCGACTTATAAATATATTAAACTAGCGGGGACACACGTGATGTCCGACTTATAAATATATTAAACTAGTGGGGACACACGTGATGTCCGACTTATAAATATATTAAACTAGCGGGGACACACGTGATGTCCGACTTATAAATACCTTTAATCAGCGGGGCACAAAAGATATCCGGCTTATAACTAACTACCTTTAACTAGTGGGGACACACGAAAAGTCCGGCTTATAACTACCTTTATTTAGCATGGACACAAGTGATGTCTGGCTTATAACTACCTATAACTAGTGGGGACACATGGAATTTTTCGCTTATAACTACCTTTAACTGGCGGGGACACAAGGGATGTCCGGCTTATAACTTCCTTTATTTAGTGGGGATACAAGTGATGGGTGGCTTATAAATAACTTGAACTAGTGGGGACACAAGGGATGTCCGGCTTATAACTACCTTTAACTAGCGGGGACACAAGTGATTTCCGGCTTATAATATTATCATGTGAGATATGCAAATGTTTTCTGCCAAAGAGAGACTGAAGGAAAGGCGTTGCCATGGATAGGGACATGCTCCCCTACACCAGGCCGACTTGTTTTATTTTATTTTGGGCATTGCATACGAGGCGAGCTACCTAACGCGTGCTACCTATCCCTTTCTACATATCACGTGCTAGTTATCGTGGCTAGTTACCTGAAATGGTTAAGGAATAAAATTGTTTCGAAGTAAAGTTGTTCAACTGCAGCCTGACCGAAATAAAATTGTAAAAAAAATAAAACAAAAATTGATGTCAATAAAAAGTTAAAATTTTTCTGACACCCAACTTGCCTGGAACAAGACTTCAATAAACTCACTTTGGAGTCAACACATTTCCGGAGACCATCACCTCCAAACAGTCTGTGTATATGTTTTGAAATCTCAGAGCAAGATATTCTTTCAATGAGTCTTGCCGTGATTGTGTACTTGGTTAGTTGAATATGTCGGTGATTGTATATTTGGTTTGTTCAATATGTCGGTGATTTTATACTTGGTTTGTTCAACATGTCAGTGATAGTATACTTGGTAATTTCAATATGTCGGTGATTGTATACTTGGTTTATCCAATATGTCGGAGATTGTATACTTGGTTTATTCAATATCTCGGTGATTGTATATTTGGTTTATTCAATATGTCGGTGATTGTCTACTTGGTTTATTCAACGTGTCAGTGATAGTATACTTCATATGCTCCATATGTCGGTGACTGTATACATGGTTTATTCAATATGTCGGAGATTGTATACTTGGTTTGTTCAATATGTAAGTGATAGTATACTTGGTTTGTTCAATATGTCGGTGATTGTATACTTGGTTTGTTCAAAATGTCTATAATTATATACTTGGTTTGTTAAATATGTCGGTGATTGTATACTTTGTTTGTTTAATAAGTCATTGATTGTATAATTGGTTTGTTCAATGTGTCTGTGATTGTATATTTGGTAAGTTTAATATGTCGTTGATTGTATACTTGCTTAGTTGAAGATGTCGGTAATATCGTACTTGCTTAGTTGAAGATGTTGATGATTGTATACTTGCTTAGTTGAAGATGTTGGTGATTGCATACTTGCTTAGTTGAAGATGTTGATGATTGCATACTTGCTTAGTTGAAGATGTTGATGATTGTATACTTGCTTAGTTGAAGATGTTGGTGATTGCATACTTGCTTAGTTGAAGATGTTGATGATTGTATACTTGCTTAGTTGAAGATGTTGATGATTGTATACTTGCTTAGTTGAAGATGTTGATGATTGTATACTTGCTTAGTTGAAGATGTTGATGATTGTATACTTGCTTAGTTGAAGATGTTGGTGGATGTAAACCTTAGATGCCAACCTTGGATGACAACGTTGGATTTCAACCTTAGATGACAACCTTGGATGTCAATCTTTGATGACAACCTTGAATGCCAACCTCCTGATGACAACCCATTTAAGATGAGGGAAAACACGAAAATCAAACCCGGAGAAGGAACCTAGTTGGCGGCATGACATTTATAATGAAAATTCCAGAAACACCTGCAACTTGAAACGGCTACAGAGCACATTGCGACACAAGAAACACTGCTGGTCATCCATTGGCATCACAGTCTATCTGTAAACCATCTTGACCTAGTCTTAACATTGGAGCATAGTAAGAAAGGACAAAAGCATAAGGCTGCCAAATTGTTCAGCTCTCCCACGCATAAGGCTGCCAAATTGTTCAGCTCTCCCACGCATAAGGCTGCCAAATTGTTCAGCTCTCCCTCACTTTCAACACAATACAGCGCATGTCACGGCCACTAATCAGTCGAATTTTGCCAAGGTCATCTTAGCATGCAATTAAATGACGAACAATAATAGGCAGGGTTTGATGTTAACATCTTGACGACGCATGGTTTGCTAATTAACATCTGGACGACGCATCGTTTGCTGTAAACATCTGTGACGACTGAAAGGCTGAATGATCTTACCTTCGTCGTTGATTAACGTGACCACAGTCTTAGAGATTTTCCCGATCTCAGCACAGCCTGTTGGGTTTAGGAGCTCCACTTGAAAGTTTGGCTCGTTCTGTTTGTCCTGAGAAACATCGAAATGAATTTTAATGATAATATTGTTACATATTGTTATAAAATTGTCAACAAATGAACACTAACTAACGCACATATTCTGGTGAAGGTCTGAGATTACTCTCTTATGACCCCGGCTAGTAAATTGGCTATCAACTCCATCTGTTGAGCTGAGCCATACAACATTTCCCTCACAAAGGATCCTCCAACCGCCCTGGCTTCCCCCGGGAGATCTAGTGCGGGACACTCCGTCAACAGATGTTCTAAGGTCTCTGGGGCCAGGCTGCAGTGCCGGCAGGTAGGATCTCTGTTGTTGTCCAACCTCCAGAAATATGTGCGCAGGGGGCAGTGCTCGGTGCGCATCTGCGTTACTAGACTCTGCACTCTACGACCTAACCCCCACCATGGGTCTTGTTTGCTAGGAGTAGGCAAGTTCGAATAGACGCCTCTGGCGGTCGTGTTGTCAGCCCATTGCCTGTACCACTTCTGCCTGAAGTGGTCCGCCAGCCAGTTTTTGACTCCCAAGAAAGTCATTGGTACTTCTGGCTGAGGCTGGGCTGCCCCGGTTTTCGCCAGAGTGTCAGCTATCTCATTGCCACTGATGTTGACATGCCCTGGTATCCATTGCATTTCAACCTTGCACCCTATTTCACCAAGTCTGCATATGTCGTTGTGAATGACGTCGACCAGGCGTGTGGTACCCTGTCTCTTCTCCAAGATCTCAAGAGCAGATCTTGAGTCTGAGAAGACAACAATATCGAGCCCCGCATGCTCCGTCCCTTCCAGAGTGATATGGACTCTCTCCAAGGCCTTGTGCATAGCTATGAGCTCCGCGTCAAAGTTTGACGCTGTAGTCCCACAAGGCCCGGAGAGTTTTTCATTGGGTGGTCCACCTACTGGGTACTGAATAAGCGCACCGTACCCAGCAGTTTTTTTCCTAAAGTCAGCAGAGCCGTCCGTGAACACTTTCACAGGTATGTGTGTGAACACATCCATGGTCTCAAGGGCAGCCACTCTCTGTACATGTTCAGGGCTTCGCTTCGTCACTGCTGCATCTGTCAAGGCCAAATGTATGGAGGGGCGTGAGGGTTCCGCATAAGGCGGATTAACTGGGATTTGGGTCAGTCGTTCTCTATTTGGGGGCAGGGTGACTGTCCTTTCCAGCTCCACGACCTGGTGCATGAAAGAGGACCTCTTAAGTCTCCTGCCACCCACCCAGTTATTCTGCATTTGAAAGGCTGGTTCATTTTCACCGAGCCGTCGGTACCTCTCTACGGTATTTAAGATGGATTTTTCCCTCCTAATTTGTAGCGGTTCTACATTGGCCAAGACTTCTACAGCAGCTGTGGGAGTAGTCCTGTATGCGCCACAGATGAATCTCAGTGCCTGATTCTGGATTCGGCCCAGTTTTTCCAGTGCGGTCTTGCTTGCAAAGGATTGGACCGGCATGCTGTAGTCCATCACCGACCTTACACTGCTTAGAAAGAGAGCTCTAAGCGTACTTGCGTTCGCGCCCCAACTTGTGCAAGCCAATTTTTTCACCAGGTTGAGCTTGGCGGTCGCCTGGGAGCAGAGGTCCTGTACAAAATTGTGCATTTGTACCTTTTGGTCCAACTTAACTCCCAAGTAGACCGGTTGTTTGTCCCACTTGAGCGCCACATCGCCCACCTTGAGCTCGATATCCTGTTTGAGAATGGTCCGCCCATTTGTGAACAGTGAATAGACCGTCTTCTCGGTGTTAATTTCCTGATGCCACCGTCGCATGTACCTGTTGATAGCAGAGAGGTCCTGCTGTAATAGCGTCTGCAGACGGTGGACATCTTTGCCGGTGCTCCAAATTACCAAATCGTCCACATACATGGCAGAGCTAGTTGTTAGCACCTGTGGCAGGTCATTGATGTATGCGAGGAAGAGGGTGCAACTGAGGGCAGACCCCTGCGGGAGTCCTTCCTCAAGTGTCCTCTTCCCGGAGGTTTCACCGCCGAATTTCGTGTTTATCGTCCGGTTTGTGAGGAAACCGGAGATCCATCTGTACATGTTCGCGGTTACTCCCAACTTCTGCAACTTCAACAATAGACCTGACCTCCAAACTCGGTCATAGGCTTGTTTGAGGTCAAAAAATACTGCCACTGTATGGGATTTCTTTTGGACAAATGAACACTGAAATGTTGCATTCGCTTCTAGAAAATGGAGGGTAGGGCGGGGCTTGATTGGTGGTGTGCCACTGTTACAATTGTAAGGAAATGTAAAGGCTTTGATGATTGGACAAACACGTTGGATGATAAATTGTAAATTTAACCTACAGTAACAAAGTTCACAAACGAGTTCCACACAGTGATATTTTAAATTGCAATTTACAACGGGTGTTGGTTGTTAATATATAAAATCTACTCCTTAAGTGGTAGGAATAGGCATCTCCCCCCCCCCAATAAACCCCCAAAAAACACACACACCAGATCGATCTAGAGTTTATTATACTATTCAGACATATTGTAATACACCATAACACTTTTATTGATTACTTTATTTTTGAATAATTCCTCAAATATTATTTCCTCACCAGCGCTTACTTCAGATCTAGTTTTCGAATTTGTTTAAGGGATGTGGAGATTTTTAGGTCATCTATCTTAACTTCGCACTTTCTGGTTTGTGGCAAAATATTCGTAAGGCTAATAGACCAATTTTCCGTCAACCTATCGAGATGAATCTTGGCACATAGACTACTTGCCGATGACAAATTGTATCAAATGTTCACCACAACCCCCAAAACTAAGTTTTAAGGCGACTGTATGCCACTGAGTTCAATAAATAAATTTCCCGATAAACGCGCTAAATGATATTTTTTTAACTGTCGCAAGTGCACTTGGTGCCTAATATTTTCATTTGCTTTACGGAAATATTTGATCTCATAACTATGCAGTGTAAAATCGCGTGGGACAATAGAATATTAATAAAGTTGAGGGGCGTGAAAAAATATGCGACTGTACGCTTCTGGGTGGAAGGGAAGCACTAATAGGTTATTCTTTCCAAGTGCGTTACTTGTATGCACATTTCATCAAATTATCAGCCCCACCTTAACCTGCTAAATATACATAATAACAAGAATTTATAGCAAACTTTTTCTCATAGGTTTTGATTAATAATTCTGTTTTACTGGCTACACTTATGCCACATGTGCATATTCTGTTGTACTGACTACACTTATGCCACATGTGCATATTCTGTTGTACTGGCTACACTTATGCCACATGTGCATATTCTGTTGTACTGGCTACACTTATGCCACATGTGCATATTCTGTTGTACTGGCTACACCTATGCCACAAGTGCATATTCTTTTGCTTTACTTTGAATGCTCACCATATCAAACGACGTCGGTCGCACAATAGTTTTCCGTTTCCAACTTTCTCGTGCGATACAATCACATTTATGTCCGAGTCAGCTGGCCAGAGTCACTGTTTCCATCAGTTTTAATGTCTTGGTTGGTGTTCTTTTTTTCGTTAAGAGTTGAAGATCTTGATGACCGTTTTTAACACGTTTAACGAAGTAACCCTTTCATAACAAGTCCAGCTAATGGAAGTTACCCTTTTATAACAAGCACAGCTCATGGAAGTTACCCTTTCATACCAAGACCAGCTAATGGAAGTTACCCTTTCATACCAAGACCAGCTAATGGAAGTTACCCTTTCATAACAAGTCCATCTAATGGAAGTTACCCTTTCACAACAAGCCCAGCTAATAGAAGTTACCCTTTCATAACAAACCTACCCAATGAAAATTAGCATTATAGCAAGCCCAGCCAATTGAAGTTACCATTTTATTAGGATCCCAACTAATTGAATTCATCCTTGCATAATAGACCAAGCTAATTAGTCGATGTATGCACTCATGTGGTTGATGTGTGCACTCTTATTGTTGATGTGTGCACTCATGTGATCGATATGTAGACTTATGTTGTTATGTGTACATTAATGTGGTTAATGTGTACACCCATGTGGTCGATGTCTGCAATAAGGTGGCCTATATGTAGACTCATGTTGTCAATGTGTAAACGTATGTGTTCCACGTTTGCACTTGTGTGGTCGATATATATTCTCTTTTGGTCCACATTTACAATCAATATGTGCAGTCATTTTGTTTTTTTTGTGCACTCGTGTGGTCGATGTGTTCACTTATGATGTCTATGTGCACACTGACATGGTCGATGTGTTCACTTATGATGTCTATGTGCACACTGACATGGTCGATGTGTACAATAATGTTGTTGATATGTGCACTCTTGTGGTCGATATGTACACGTATGAGGTCTTTGTGTAAACACATGTCATTGATGTGTACGCTCATTTTGTAGATGTGTCACTCATGTGATCGATCTTTGGACTTATGTGGTCAATGTATACAATCATGTGGTCGATATGGGCGATGTGTACAGTCATTTAGTTGATGTGTACACTTATGGTTGATGTTTTTACCCATAGTCGATTTATACCTCATGTGGTCGATTTGCACAACAATTTGATCGATATATGCAATCATATTGTTGGTGTGTGCATTTATGTGGGTGATGTGTACACTCTTGTGGTCGGTGTGTACTATTCTGAGGTCGATGCATGCCATTTTGGGGTTCTTCTTCTTCTAAATCTTAAGGACCCACGATCAATTTATTGATCATTTTGGCTCCTATGCATGTAGATGGGATTTGCAATGTTTCTGTTCCTGGTGTTGATGAGGAAATTTCACTGATTTCCAGTGCCACTTTGTGAAAGAATCATGCACTAGGGGTTTGAAGGCTTGAGGCAATAGACACAAATGTGTCTAGTGTTGTCGCCTCAACCGTTCCTTTTGAAAGATTGTTCTTGGGCAGGATTGAGCAGATCTCTCTACTGGCTTCTTGCTGGTATGAGCCTGAATTGTCTGTCATGGCCTCCTCGCATTCTATGGGGGAGAGGGACAAGTTTCTGTTTAATACTGGAACAGTGAACCAGCCCATTATTTATCTTGTACATCATAGAGAGCCTGGATCGTCGTCGTCGTTCCTCCAATGGTGACCAGCCTAGTGTTTCCAGCATGCTGCCAACACTAGAGGTATTACTGTAGCGTTTTAGGACAAAGCGTGCTGCTCGTCGCTGGACCGCCTCCATCCTGTTAATGCTCTTCTGGGTAAATGGTCCTAGACTGAAGATGCAAAATCTAAAATCGGACGGACAAAGGCTTTATATGCTCTTTCTTTCACACATGAGTTGCCAATCTTTAGATTTCGCCTTAAGAACCCCAGGGTCTTGTTTGCTTGGTTACATATATTGTTTAATATGCTCGTCCCAGCAGACCTCTCTTTGAATGGTAACACACAAGTACTTTACGGAGGAAACTTGCTCAAGAATATGGCCGTGCAGATCGTATTGGTGGTGTAGAGGCGTACAACTTCTAGAGACTGATAGTGTCTGGCACTTGGCAGGGTGAAATTCCATGTCCTAGCTCATCTCCCAATCAGCTAACAGATTGAGATCCTGTTGTAGCTTGTCCTGGTCATATCTGTTGGCGATCGTCCTATACACTGCTGTGTCATCTGCGAACAGTCTTGCCTGTGATGTCAGTTTCTTGGGAAGTCATTAATGTATGCTAGGAACAAATGCTAGGGTGTACTATCACTTGATCGGTGTTTTCAGGTCATGTGTTCGTTGCGTACACTTATGTGGTCGATGTATACAATCATGTGGTCGATGTGTACAATCATGTAGTCGATTTGCACAATCATGTCATCCATGTGCAGACTTATGTAAGCTACATGCAATGTCATGTGGTCGATGTGTACACTCATGTGATAGATGTGTACATTCATGTGGTCAGTGTGTACACTTATTTTGTCGATGTATAGATTCATGTGGTCGATATGTACATTCACGTGGTCGATATTTACAAGCATGTGGTCGATGTTTGCAATTATATGGTCGATGTGTACACTGATATGGTTGATGTGTACACTGATATGGTTGATATGTAAAAATTTTTGTACGGTGTATGAGAAGTTCGTACAATTCGACCGTGGCAACGGTCAGACTCAATCAATAAACGACACATGTATTCACAAGTTCTGACCCAGGTATTCACACGATCTGACCCATGTAATCACAAGATCTGACCCATGTAATCACAAGATCTGACCCATGTAATCACAAGATCTGACCCATGTAATCACAAGTTCTGACCCATGTATTCACAAGTTCTGACCCATGTATTCACACGGTCTGACCCATGTAATCACAAGATCTAACCCATGTAATCACAAGATCTGACCCATGTAATCACAAGATCTGACCCATGTATTCACAAGTTCTGACCCATGTATTCACAAGTTCTGACACATGTATTCCCACGATCTGACACATGTATTCACACGATCTGACCCATGTAATCACAAGATCTGACCCATGTAGTCACAAGATCTGACCCATGTATTCACAAGATCTGACCCATGTAATCACAAGATCTGACCCATGTATTCACAAGTTCTGACACATGTATTCCCACGATCTGACACATGTATTCACACGATCTGACCCATGTAATCACAAGATCTGACCCATGTAGTCACAAGATCTGACCCATGTATTCACAAGATCTGACCCATGTAATCACAAGTTCTTACCCACGTATTCACAAGCTCTGACCCATGTATTCACAATTTCTGACCCATGTAATCACACCATCTGACTAATGTATTCACAAGCTTTAGATTGCTGCTTTCAATCATCCCTGGACCCCTGCTGTGATCTAAAAAATTATCAACCCCGCCCCCCCCCCCCCGCCCCTTTCCAACTGTCATAGAGACGCTTCAATCAACCACGATAAGGAGCAAGGATTTATTCTTTGCCAGACTGCATGAACGAAATATGACGGCTATAACAAACGCATGCTTCTAAAGCTAACCGAAGCTCGGAGCAGTTCCATAAATCTGTATCGGAAACAAGGGCTTCTTATCGTAAAGTTCTCCAATGTGTACACAAGAGCATTATTATCGTAGAAGGGATTGAGTGCACGCTCAATGGAACTAAGAGTTAGAGTTTGAATAATATTTGCTTCACCCCAAAAGCTTTTAATTTTGTAATATGATTGTTATGTTATTTCCTCTCATTTACGCACACATACTGGTTTCAAATGCTTCTAACATCATAGACATCGCTCCGTTGAGACATTGGTACCAAAATGCTTCTAACATCATAGACATGGCTCCGTTGAGACATTGGTACCAAAATGCTTCTAACATCATTGACATGGCTCCGTTGAGACATTGGTACCAAAATGCTTCTAACATCATAGATATGGCTCCGTTGAGACATTGGTACCAAAATGCTTCTAACATCATAGACATGGCTCCGTTGAGACATTGGTACCAAAATGCTTCTAACATCATAGACATGGCTCCGTTGAGACATTGGTACCAAAATGCTTCTAACATCATAGATATGGCTCCGTTGAGACATTGGTACCAAAATGCTTCTAACATCATAGATATGGCTCCGTTGAGACATTGGTCCCAAAATGCATTTAACATCATAGACATGGCTCCGTTGAGACATTGGTACCAAAATGCTTCTAACATCACAGACATCGCTCCGTTGAGACATTGGTACCAAAATGATTCTAACATCATAGAAATGGCTCCGTTGAGACATTGGTCCCAAATTGCATCTAACATCATAGATAGGACTCCGTTTAGACGTATGCTTTAACAATTTAAACAAAATATAGAAGCAAACAGTCTTTGACACGGTATAGGATTTAGTAAAAATAACAGAATAAATAAATGGAACGACCCCCTTACAAAAAAATCGTATAAGGGTGCGCACACACTAGGTCCGGATTTCTCCGAATTCCAAGACTGACGAACGAGACTGGGTCGGTATAAAAAAACAAATGCAATAACATTTGAAGCGGACATGGTTGCCGACAATACTGTAGAGAGTTCAGTCAGTCTCAGTGCGTAGCAGATAAATTAAGGCGTGGAATACAAGGGATGTCAACGGTGCGGGGTAAACCCACAGTCGAAGACTGACCAAATAAATTAAGACGAGGAATGCAGTAGAAGCCACAGACCCAGAAAGCACGCGTTTGACAGGAAATTAGTATAAATCAAAACTTAAGAAGTTAGGGGAGGTAATCAGGCAGGTGTGAGAGGGAAAACGAACGGTACCCAGACTGACCACCAAGGCAGCGTGGCGGTGTCACTAAGATAATTAGACTTTAGAATAGTACGGGGAAGTAATCTCTAGAGACGCCTCGGTTGGCTGGTGGACCTATAAGAGGGGACGGTTAGATTTGAGGAGGGGAGAACGATGAGCTAAGGAGAGTGAAGCAGAGACAAGCCGAGCGAAGTCCGCCAAGTGAGCGAAGCCGGAGAGAGTTAATTAGACTGAGGGCGGGCCGGACAGTCTAGTGGTCAGGATAGACATGAGGAGACACTAATCCGAAACAGTCAGAGCAGAATAGCAAAGTCTTGATTGTCGATCAGAACCAATAAAGTGATGTCTAACAGTCAATGTGTGTCAACAGAAAGACAGAGTGAAAGAGGTTACCATCCTCAGAAAGTAGATTGAGAAACGAGTGGAGATAAAACCAGATTTCCTTACAATACTACCAACACAATTTGGAAAGTTTCATATCCTTTCGTAGTCCTTAGCAGCCTTGCCATGAATTCTATGATTGGAAAGGCATATACTTCTCAACAAAGCACTACCAAATAGCCTCACAGGTCTCATTAATAATAATGGATATTGTGCAGGGCGACTATCCGATAGGAAAAGGCAAGAAAGCTTAATGCTAATCCCGTAATATGTACTGTAGTCAACAGTTTAATGGTTCACTCTGAAATAATAAAGAAAACTTTGATGGTGGCTCCAGCAGCCTTGGAAACAACGTATACAATTGTCCACACCCGCCTCTCTCCCTCTGCAAAAATTGGGTTTACCCACTTACTTCTCTGATTCTCTGACAATAATAATTTTAATAATGAACCCTCTATCAAATAAGACATGTTCATCCATTCCAGCTTTTATTTTATTTTTAAATGTAAAATACAATAAGCTGATTAAAAATTTATGTTTATTTTTAGATTAGTTTGCGCTATCGGCAAGACAGCTAAATCAAGGCCCTAGTTAGGATAAACAATAAAAATTCGGATGCGATCAGTTGCAATGTATTCTCAATGTCTACAATGTTCGACGTACTGTTCTACCGAACGACCGGTCTCGTCACCAGTCTTGGAATTCGGTGAAATCCGGACCTAGTGTGTGCGCTCCTAAATCCTTTATAAAATGTAATGTCGAGCAATTCAGAGTGGGGCTACAAATTTGACCAAAAAATGCATTTAAGTAACGCACTTTATAAGTATCCCAATTAGTGCCCCAATAATTTCAAGAACTCTTAAAGGAAAACAAAAGAAAATATTACGCACCAAACGCTCTAGCAATTCTTTAAAAGAATCTTATTTAGCGCAGTTATCGGGAATTTTATTTTCACTTGAAAAAACAGGAAACACGGATTTTTGGGGGGTGGGGATTGGAGTGAAAATTGTATAGAATGTGTTGTCATCGGTAGTGAGTCTATGTGCCACGTTTCCGGTCGATAGCTTCACGAGAAGTTGGCCACCTAGCCGTCCAATGATTTTGCCACCCAGCCAGTCAGACAGCCACAAACAAAAGCGAAGTTCATATAAAGGATTTAATAATAAAACCAATGATATGTGTGTACATAATTGTTCACCTTTATGCCGAATATTTCTATGCTGATGATTTTGCTTGTCTCCCCGTGTTTAAAGACAACCTTCCCTTCTCCCCCAGCATACTCGATCTGTGTGCGTGCCGTCATGTCGTGTGTCTTCCACGTGACAGCGACCTCTCCGTCCGCCCCATGGACTCTGTTGATCTCCAGGCTGGCGGCGTTACTGCTCTCTTTGATGACGTAGCTCGGCTTGTTGAACTCCAGCTTGCCTGGTTCTATCACATAACAGAGTTTAAGTGAAAAATAGTTAAGGGCATGCATTAAACCAGTGTTTCCCAACCTTTTTTGTGCCATGCCCCATCTGATCATTTCTAAGATTCTTAACCTCACCCCTTTGTTTTTATATATACATTATTTAAGTGTACTTAAAAGTTAATTTTTCACTGAATGAAAACTAAATAATAGGTTTTAGGAAGAAGATATTTTTAATGAAACACAGCAAGTAAAATTTCAAACATGTAAAGGAGAACTGAAATTCAAGAAGAAAATTAAAGGTTTTTTCTAAAATATTTTAATTATTTATATTTCATTTATAATTCATTATTTAATAATTTTAAAATACAACGAGAGAACCCAAAACAGTGTGAGATTACATAAACAGTGGGATATCACATAAAGACTTTAAGATCACATAACTCGTGTGAGATCACATAAAAAGTGTGAGATCACATAACCAGTGTGAGATCACATTAACAATATGAGAAGACATAAACAATGTGAGACCACATAAACAGTGTGAGATAAAATAAACAATATGATATGACATAAAAAGTGTGAGATGACATAAACAGTGTGAGATAACATAAACAGTGTGAGATGACATAAACAGTGTGAGATGACATAAACAGTGTGAGATGAAATAAACAGTGTGAGATAACATAAACAGTGTGAGATGACATAAACAGTGTGAGATGACATAAACAGTGTGAGATCAAATAAACAATATGATATTATATAAACAGTGTGAGATGACATAAACAGTGTGAGATAACATAAACAGTGTGAGATGACATAAACAGTGTGAGATGACATAAACAGTGTGAGATGACATAAACAGTGTGAGATAACATAAACAGTGTGAGATGACATAAACAGTGTGAGATAACATAAATAGTGTGAGATCAAATAAACAATATGATATTATATAAACAGTGTGAGATAACATAAACAGTGTGAGATGACATAAACAGTGTGAGATGACATAAACAGTGTGAGATGACATAAACAGTGTGAGATGACATAAACAGTGTGAGATGACATAAACAGTGTGAGATGACATAAACAGTGTGAGATGACATAAACAGTGTGAGATGACATAAACAGTGTGAGATGACATAAACAGTGTGAGATGACATAAACAGTGTGAGATGACATAAACAGTGTGAGATAACATAAACAGTGTGAGATGAAATAAACAGTGTGAGATGACATAAACAGTGTGAGATGACATAAACAGTGTGAGATGAAATAAACAGTGTGAGATGACATAACAGTGTGAGATGACATAAACAGTGTGAGATGACATAAACAGTGTGAGATGACATAAACAGTGTGAGATGAAATAAACAGTGTGAGATGAAATAAACAGTGTGAGATGACATAAACAGTGTGAGATAACATAAACAGTGTGAGATGACATAAACAGTGTGAGATAACATAAACAGTGTGAGATGACATAAACAGTGTGAGACGACATAAACAGTGTGAGATGACATAAACAGTGTGAGATGACATAAACAGTGTGAGATGACATAAGCAGTGTGAGATGACATAAACAGTGTGAGATGACATAAACAGTGTGAGATGACATAAACAGTGTGTGATGACATAAACAGTGTGAGATGACATAAACAGTGTGAGATGACTAATTGAATGAGAAACGAGTGCTTGTCTTTGTATTTTATATCAGTCTTCAGTTGATATCGTTTCTTTCTCAAGTCTCCTCAACAAATCACTTACAAACATATTTCTGACATAATGCAATGGCGTTAATGAAACCAATGATATTCGCTTTTGTATCGACACGAGTTTTATTTGCTCCTTGAAGTTGTTTATTTAATCTATTCAATTTTTAAAATATATCGGCTAAAAATCTTTAAATGTTTTACCGTCAACTATTAACAGATACTTCATTTCAGGCTTCTCACTAAAAATGTCACAAAGAGTATCAAATAGATCTATCAATCTTTTAACGCAGTTTTCTTTCAAGAGCCACCTTACTTTAGTGTGAAGTTATATTCTGACAGTCTTCATTGTGTTCTTTACAAAATAGAATGAAAAGACTGATCTAGCAAAAGGCAAATGTGAGTACAAAATCAACAAGTGTATCAACTTACAGCAATTGGAAAATAAAGGAACAATACTCAAACTACTAGAGAATCTGGCGGCTTTATCTAAGAATGAATCCGAACGTTTTAGTACAGAAACACCCCTTGGCATTCTGGAGAACAAACTGAACGTAAACAAACTGTTGTCACCAGCCAGGATAAGGGAGGGTATCAATTACGTGGTGATGTTGATTTCAAGTTCATTCCACTAGAAGACAGTTGTGATGGCTAAAAATAACTATGTGTTAAGTGAAAGCAAGCTATACCCTATACTAGTGCAGACAAGTGCTATAAATAGCTCTAGAGCTCATTTTCATTACCCCCCTCTCGAAGCAATGAAATTGCTCCCTATGGGGCGTGGGCTCACCGTAGGAAACGCTGCCTTAAACAATTCATCTAATTGATAACGGTTACGCTAAGAGACGTGAAAAATTAGCTTAACTTTAAAACTTGAATTGCTTTAATTTTCCTCTAAAAAATAATATTTTAACATATAAAAACAAACGTTACCAATTGCTATTTGTTCTAATCAGTCATAATCATGGGATCTCTTCGCATGTCTGACGCTCAATTTAAAGACAATCTGATGATTTGACATTGTTTCCAATGTAACCTTCCAAAATTTTCGAGCCGTCGGTCTATGAATTCCTTTGAATCATTGAAATGAAGCTATAGAACCACTATAGTACCGCTATAGTACCTCTATAGTACCCCTATAGTACCCCTATAGTACCGCTATAGTACCCATATAGCACCCGCTATAGTACCACTATAGTACCGCTATAGTACCCATAGAGCACCCCTATAGTACCGCTATAGTACCACTATAGTACCCCTATAGTACCGCTATAGTACCGCTATAGTACCGCTATAGTCCGCTATAGTACCCCTATAGTACCGCTATAGTACCACTATAGTACCGCTATAGTACCCCTATAGTACCGCTATAGTACCGCTATAGTACCGCTATAGTCCGCTATAGCACCCCTATAGTACCGCTATAGTACCACTATAGTACCCCTATAGTACCGCTATAGTACCGCTATAGTACCGCTATAGTCCGCTATAGCACCCCTATAGTACCGCTATAGTACCACTATAGTACCGCTATAGTACCCCTATAGTACCGCTATAGTACCGCTATAGTACCGCTATAGTACCGCTATAGTCCGCTATAGTACCCCTATAGTACCGCTATAGTACCCCTATAGTACCGCTATAGTACCGCTATAGTACCGTTATAGTACCGCTATAGTCCGCTATAGTACCGCTATAGTACCGCTATAGTACCGCTATAGTACCGCTCTTCCCCAAATAACACCCTCATCATCCCAGACGTGTCCCGCCCACTTTCATTTCCCCAAAGAGCACAGCAGGTGAAAGCCCCGCCCCTTTCCTCACACTAATGATTTGGAAGCACAACTTCCCAAACAGTTTTTATTGCCATTTATTGATGAATTCTTTCCCAACAGACAAAACATACCAACCGTCATCGTTAACTATCGTGACCTGGTTGATGCCCAGCTTCCCGATGGTCACGTCATCCTCCGTGCTGCCCAAAGTGTGGTGAAACAGTCGGACATAGAAGAACTCGTCCGGCTCCCAGACGTCGTCATCAACGATGTCGATGAAAATCTCTTTGGTGGTCTCCTCTGGTCCAAAGGTGATAATCTGTTTGACGGGCTTGTAGTCCACAGTGGCCTCTGCTGTCCCATCGATCGTCTCAATCCTGTATGGTCATAGATTTATGTCAACCAAAATCATATTACAGTGGAACGCCGCTATAATTCGCTCATTGGGGCCATAAAATAATATCATAATAGTAGTGGGATAGTACAGTTTTACATCATGGTCTAATAAAATAGGAAATAATAATAATAATAATAAAGTTCATTTTAAAAAAAACACGCTTCATCCCCAAAGGCTCGAAGCGCGGTACAAAGTCAACAAAAACATATCTATAATTCACCACATTTAAAACAAACACAACACTACAAAAACTAATTACAAGCATACAATATCAAAGTCTTTCTAGCCATTTCAACCCGGAGCAACACAGCAACACATGGAAAATAAGGTAGACAATCATCCCAGAAGGTATTTGCGAAATAGATGTGTCTTTAGATCGGTTTTAAAGGACTCCAGTGTCTGGTTGTTTCTAAGATCGACAGGAAGGGCGTTCCAAATTGTTGGACCAGCAAATGCGAAAGTGCGCTTTCCGTAAGTCTCAAGGCAAACACGTGGTGTCGAGAGTTTGCCACTATCGGATGAGCGGAGCTCTCTACTGGGTACATAAGGCGTCAGCAGCTCTTTCAGATAGGACGGAGATAGAAATGTCCGGAGCCATTCCAAACCCAAGATATACCCACAATAAACATTGTTTTATTTCAATACACTCAAAGTTACAGTTTTCAAATTTGATTGCTGGCAAGTAAAACTGGATTAGGGGCGGAGGGGCAGAGATTAAAATATTATGAGTTTCTAACTTGTGTGCGTCATATATTGTCAATACTATTGGTAAACCACAAGAACAAGCCGTACTTTGAAATGTATACACCTCATTCAGTCTTATCTTATTTTACCTCATTCTGTCTTATCTTATTTTACCTCATTCTGTCTTATCTTATTTTACCTCATTCTGTCTTATCTTATTTGACCTCATTCTGTCTTATCTTATTTTACCTCATTCTGTCTTATCTTATTTTACCTCATTCTGTCTTATCTTATTTTACCTCATTCTGTCTTATCTTATTTTACCTCATTCTGTCTTATCTTATTTTACCTCATTCTGTCTTATCTTATTTTACCTCATTCTGTCTTATCTTATTTTACCTCATTCTGTCTTATCTTATTTTACCTCATTCTGTCTATCTTATTTGACCTCATTCTGTCTTATCTTAATCTTAAAGGTGAGAACCTTGTCTCACAAAAACACATATCCTCATTGAAGCAAGCTGTCAAACATAATCTTCATATTTATTGACTTTCATTAGATTTTGTTTTCTTGATTCGTTGGATGTGTTTCGTGGGAAATCAGTTTCCATTTATTATAACACTTTAATGAATTTTTATTGTTTTTATTTTTAAAATTTTTTAGCAAATTTAATTTCATCCTAAGAGATTTCATTAAATTTTATAAGCTTTGTTAAGTTACAATACTGCAAAGCATAAGAAATAAAATTATATTGTTAAGAATTTTTGCCACTTTGTGTGTGTGTTTGTGTCAGTGGACATTGATGAACAAAGTAGCCATTTAAATGGATTATTATTACTTTTCTTTTCAAAGAGAGACGAGTCCTTGTCCAAACTGACTTTTTGAATATTGATTTTTTAGACTACTTCAATAATAACTCAAAATTATATTTTAAATTTTTGAAATTAATAAACACTAATTTTATTGGTTTGAAATAATAAATTATAATTATAAGAAAACACGCACCAAAAAAGTAATACTTTTCTCAGCATACTGTCGTTACCAAGAATGAACAATGGACCAACGAAAGACAGCGGCCGGATATAGTTTGACACGTCTTCTAGTGTACACCCCCAGTTCAGACGTACCCAATCTTAATCTCCTTGGACAGGTCCCCGGTCCTCTTGACCCCAATCCTGACGTAGCCCTCGTTCTCGAGGACGGTGCAGGTAGCCGCCGTGAACTCGACCACGGCTTTCTTGGAGTGCAGCACCGAGTCTCTGGCAGAGGACACCGCGCCGTTGGCCACACCATCGCCGTGTTGGGAGACGCCCGGTGATTCGAGTTGAACTCTCTCCACTAACTGTGGAGTCGGTCACACGTGGGTCAAGCAAGGAAATGATCTTCAAAATTGGATAACTTTCAATAAACATGAATCCTTCCAATACGTAATGGAGATGAGAACATAGGATTTTCTTAAGATCGAATGTTCTGATTATCAAATTAAGAAATAAGCCCTGAAAATTGGATTTACACACAACCTTAGACGTGTAATAACTTGGGTGTTGTGCTAACTTGCGTGTTGTGCTAACTTGGGTGTTGTGCTAACTTGGGTGTTGTGCTAACGTGGGGTGTTGTGCTAACTTGGGTGTTGTGCTAACTTGGGTGTTGTGCTAACTTGGGTGTTGTGTTAACTTGGGTGTTGTGCTAACTTGCGTGTTGTGCTAACTTGGTGTTGTGCTAACTTGGGTGTTGTGCTAACTTGGGTGTTGTGCTAACTTGGGTGTTGTGCTAACTTGCGTGTTGTGCTAACTTGGGTGTTGTGCTAACTTGGGTGTTGTGCTAACTTGTGTGTTGTGCTAACTTGCGTGTTGTGCTAACTTGGGTGTTGTGTTAACTTGGGTGTTGTGCTAACTTGGGTGTTGTGCTGACTTGCGTGTTGTGCTGACTTGCGTGTTGTGCTAACTTGGGTGTTGTGCTAACTTGGGTGTTGTGCTAACTTGGGTGTTGTGCTAACTTGGGTGTTGTGCTAACTTGGGTGTTGTGCTAACTTGGGTGTTGTGCTAACTTGGGTGTTGTGCTAACTTGGGTGTTGTGCTAACTTGGGTGTTGTGCTAACTTGGGTGTTGTGCTAACTTGGGTGTTGTGCTAACTTGGGTGTTGTGCTAACTTGGGTGTTGTGCTAACTTGCGTGTTGTGCTAACTTGGGTGTTGTGCTAACTTGGGTGTTGTGTTAACTTGGGTGTTGTGCTAACTAGGGTGTTGTGCTAACTTAGGTGTTGTGCTAACTTGGATGTTGTGCTAACTTGGGTGTTGTGCTAACTTGGATGTTGTGCTAACTTGGGTGTTGTGCTAACTTGCGTGTTGTGCTAACTTGGGTGTTGTGCTAACTTGGGTGTTGTGCTAACTTGGGTGTTGTGCTAACTTGCGTGTTGTGCTAACTTGGGTGTTGTGCTAACTTGGGTGTTGTGCTAACTTGCGTGGTGTGCTAACTTGGGTGTTGTGCTAACTTGGGTGTTGTGCTAACTTGGGTGTTGTGCTAACTTGGGTGTTGTGCTAACTTGCGTGTTGTGCTAACTTGGATGTTGTGCTAACGTGGGTGTTGTGCTAACTTGCGTGTTGTGCTAACTTGGGTGTTGTGCTACCGAGGGAGATAAGGAACTTAAAACGTTTAACTTCTGAGTGAACAAGATCTAGGCTCATGCTTACACCATAAGTTGTCAAGATTTTCCGGTGGAAAAAAAAGAATCATTTTGAACCTTTTGGCACAGATGACGCAAACCCCCCCCCTCCCCGCCCCCACCCCAAAAAAATAATTTTAAATTAATAAATCATCCTGCATTCAATTACAATAGTTGTGCTTGTTTTTTCAGTTTCTTTAATATTACTTTACTGAACTGGCGTGCCCAAAATGAAAATTACCCAAAAATTCTCTTAAAAATCATAAATGAACATTTGTACGAAATTTATACGTCATCAAAACCAATGAAATGTCAAAGGTCATCGTTAAAGTTTAAAAAACATAAACTATAAATAAAACAATATGTCTTTGAAGCTAATTATAAAACAATATGTCTTTGAGGCTAAGTGGTCCTTTCATTAAAGAGGTTATTTACGTCATCAAACCCTTTCTTTGTAGATGGTGTCATTTTGTGTCCACCAGTCAACATTCTGGTTGCGTTGACCCGGTACCAACCGGACGGCTTTGGTCTGCCCTTGGCAATTTCAGATGCCATGGCTTGAGCCACCTCATCCTCGCTCATAGCGGGGTCTCTGGCCAGCTTCTACAACAGCCCAAAGTTGGTGGTGGAGTTAGGTTAGAATTTTAAGAAATAATATTTGTAGTAGCCAAATTTAGCTATGGAGAAAATGTATAAACTATTGCAGTAATTCAATATGCCCAGACAAATTAAAAGCATATTGAAATTAAATCAAATAGTATAGTTCCCTCAAATTTCGTGTTACTGATTAGGTTAAATGTGTGTTTTAATAGCTGGTAATTTAATTATAACTCAGGGAGAAAAATGGTAAATGTATAAGGCTTCAGTTAACTCATATGCTTCCAATAGAAAAAACAAAAGAATTATTTATTGCAAGATATTATTTGGAATTATTCTTAGTTGTTTAGATAACATTACAATGAACTGTGCAATAGTACATAGTTAACGTTATAACATTTCTTTTCAATCATTAAATGAGAATTTACTTACAAATGAAAAATAACGCATGGCAAAAATATTTACTGGTATGACAATTTTAACATGTACTTGTGGCCTCTATAAACAATATATCTGATTTTACTTCCTAGCTAGCCCAGTCAGTGTCTACTTCCTCGCTAGCCTAGTCGGTGTCTACTTCCTAGCTAGCCTATTCAGTGTCTAATTCCTAGTTAACCTGGTCTGTGTCTACTTCCTAGCTAGCCTATTCGGTGTCTAATTCCTAGTTAGCCTGGTCAGTGTTTACTTCCTAGTTAGCCTGTTCGGTGCCTACTTCCTAGTTAGCCTGATCAGTGTTTACTTCCTAGTTAGCCTGGTCAGTGTTTACTTCCTAGTTAGCCTGGTCAGTGTTTACTTCCTAGTTAGCCTGTTCGGTGTCTACTTCCTAGTTAGCCTGATCAGTGTCTACTTCCTAGTTAGCCTGGTCAGTGATTACTTCCTAGTTAGCCTGTTCGGTGTCTACTTCCTAGTTAGCCTATTCAGTGTCTACTTCCTAGTTAGCCTATTAAGTGTCTAATTCCAAGTTAGCCTGGTCAATGTAGATCTACTTCCTAGTTAGCCTGGTCTGTGTTTACTTCCTAGCCAGCCTATTCGGTGTCTACGTCCTAGATAGCCTGGTCAGTGTCTAATTCCTAGCTAGCCTAGTCAGTGTCTACTTCCTAACTAGCCTAGTCAGTGCCTGCTTCCTAGCCAGCCTAGGTAGTGGACTGCAGTACGTCTGGGTAGCATGACGGTGGCTTGATCATTATTTGAGATGAATTCATTTCTAGCTTTTTTATTCTCAGGTCATGTTTTTTTTTCATTTGTAAATAGCTGTTATCATGATATTTGTTTTGTAAGACTTGTGGTCTAGTAGCTTACCCTTGCAACCTCAATGATGTCAGCAGTTCCTTCGTCACAATTCTTTGTTTTGCCCAACTCTTGATTTAAAAAAAAATATAAATATTAATAAATGTAAAACATATTAAATACATTTTAAAGTTAAAATAAAGAGGATATTGATAATTTTTTGTTAATAATTTCTAACAAACTTCAATAGAGTACATGAAGGAAAACGAAACACGTTAAATAAAAAATATATTTAGAATATATACCTATTATATATATATATATATATATATAATTACATATCACACAAGCCTAGCTAACAAAGCATGCATTTTATATCACACAGATCTAGTTACCCAAGCATGCATTACATATCACACAAGCCTACCTAACAAAGCATGCATTACATTTCACACATATCTAGTTAAAAAGCATGCAAAAGGCCTAGCTAGCAAAGCATGAATTATATATCACATTCATCGAGATAACAAAGCATGCATTACATATCAAGTAGGCCTTGCTTACAAATCATGCATTACATATCAAATAGGCCAGGCGGACAAAGTATGCATTACATGCCATTGCTAATAAGGCATGCATTACATATCACATAGGCCTAATTAACAAAAAATGTACTAAATATCACATGGGTCTAACTAACAAAGCATGCATTACATAACAAACAGGCCTAGTTAACAAAGTATGCAACACATATAACAAAGATCTAGCTAGCAAAGCATGCATTACATTTCCCGCAGATCTAGGTAACAAATCATGCATTCCATATAAAATAGGCCTATATCTTTGAAGCTAATTATAAAACAATATGCTAAAAAAGCATGCATTTCATATCACACATATATAACTAAAAACTTGTATTATATATCACATAGGCCTAGCTAACAAAGCATGCATTGCATATCACACATGCGTAGCTAACAAAGCATGAATTTAATATCACATAGACCAGGCTGACAGTGCATGCATTGCATATCACACAGGTCTAGCTAAAACATGCATTACATATCACTTCCACCTTGTTAACAAAGCATTCATTACATATCACATAGGCCTAGCTAACAAAGTCTGCATTACATATCACACAGGCCTAGCTAACAGATAATGCATTGCATATCACACAGATCTAGCTAAAAAGCATGCATTACATATCGCGCAGATCTAGCTAAAAAGCATGTATTACATATCACAGGCCTAGCTAAATAGCATGCATTACATAAAACACAGATCTAGCTAACAAAGCATGCATTACATAAAACACAGATCTAGCTAACAAAGCATGCATTACATATCAAACAGATCTAGCTTACAAAGCATGCATTACATATCAAACAGATCTAGCTACCAAAGCATGCATTACATATCAAACAGATCTAGCTAGCAAAGCATGCATTACGTATCAAACAGATCTAGCTAACAAAGCATGCATTACATATCAAACAGATCTAGCTAACAAAGCATGCATTACATATCAAACAGATCTAGCTAACAAAGCATGCATTACATATCAAACAGATCTAGCTAACAAAGCATGTATTACATATCAAACAGATCTAGCTAACAAAGCATGCATTACATATCAAACAGATCTAGCTAACAAAGCATGCATTACATATCAAACAGATCTAGCTAACAAAGCATGCATTACATATCAAACAGATCTAGCTAACAAAGCATGCATTACATATCAAACAGATCTAGCTAACAAAGCATGCATTACATATCAAACAGATCTAGCTAACAAAGCATGCATTGTAAATAAAATGAAAAATTTTAGTTTTTTATTTGGTGTATTTTTTTAAAAAATGTCATGAGTTTGTCCGAATCGATAATTATTCCCCATGTTTGAAATAAGGCAGCCATTTATAATCATACGTATCCGAACTGCTACTATGTTATTAGTCATAATTTATTTTCAAACGAGGATTGCTTCATCAACAGTGACACTCATAAATAGTTACCTAATCCGATCTCCACTTCAGACGCGGTTTTATTTTGAGAGCACCGAAGACCTCGATCAGCCACATAGGCGCTCAGAATGAGTACAGGAAACATTAAAAACGTGAGAATGGCTTCCCATAATTCAACGACTTTCGGAGAGATGACAAGAAGCACAAGTATGAGCCAGATGTAGGCGAATATACCAAAAATACTTGTGACAGCAAACACTGTGAGATTCTTCAATTGCCTGAAATGAAAAAAAAAAATAATAATAATAATATTTAAGAAAACTAACGTCATGTTTCTTCTCCGATACTTTTGCTCCTCGGGTTCAAATTTCAAAATTTTGAAAGTAAACATTAATGAAAGGAAATTTTAAAGCATTTTGAATAATTTAACAAAGAACTTTATTTAAAATGTGATGGTGATGGCTAATGATTGAATTAAAATTATTTGGACGGATTGACTTAATGTGACTGTCATTAACGACTTGAAAGCAACATTGGGGCCTTCCATATCGTACGTCACGCTATTTTCGGACGAATGTTTCACAACCAGTCATAAATCTTAACCCCCCCCCCCCACACACACACACATTCCTTAAAGTACGTCTCACTTTGCAACTAAAATATGCTATAACAAATTTTTAACGAATTAAAATTGTTTTTAAAGCATACTTCACTATTAAACTATTACATTTATAAAGAGTGACGTTAATTTCTGCCAGTATACAATACTTTACAACAGCTAGAACTCCCCCCCCCCTTACATTTCCTTAGAATGCCCCGCCCCCTTCCGGAGCGTGGCGTACTTTGTGGACGGCCCCCTTCCCGGAGCGTGGCGTACTTTGTGGACGCTCCCCTTCCCGGAGCGTGGCTTACTTTGTGGACGACCCCCTTCCCGGAGCGTGGCGTACTTTGTGGTGGGCCCCCTTCCCGGAGCGTGGCGTACTTTGTGGACGGCCCCCTTCCCGGAGCGTGGCGTACTTTGTGGACGGCCCCTATATGATTAAAATTATTTCTCTCCATCACAGACGAAGTCTAACGCTAAGACTATGAGCCTACCTCGTCTCACCGTTGGGAATGCACACTATGCAGATGGCCGTGATGACGAAGAGGTTGAAGGCCGCAGATCCAACAATGGTCCCAGGCCCCAGCTCCCCTGCCTCGAACGTGTGACCGCATGTTTCTATCACGTTGAGCAAGATTTCCGGAGCGCTGGTACCGAAGGCGAGGAGTGTTAGATTGGCAACGGTGTCATTCCACACCTGAAACAGGAGCAGATGTGTGGGGGGGGGGGGTGGGATATCAAGCAGCCTTATGTTAAATCATCCCTGTTATTTGTAAACAAAATAATACAATCTCCAGGACCTTATTTATTTCTGGAAAAATTATAGCTTAGTAGTAGCTTACAAACCAGTATTATGTGAGGGGAAAGATTTGAACCCTCACCTTTACTGGTATCAACACTTGAGACTTGAGATAAACAAGTGCTTGTGTTTTTCATCCTCCCATTTATCTCAATGATATTTCTTGAATTTTACAAATTGATTTAATTTAAAAATAGATTAAGTTGCCTTTACTGCAATCCTCTTATACTGTCTCTCTAGACTACAGTTTCTAGTTACACACAATGGATATAGTATCCAGATATATTGTAAAATGCAATATTTGATTAAATGAACCTGTTTGGTAATTCTGTCACCAATAGTACAAATACTTCATTATTTCTGCAGATTGATGTCAAACAACGTAAAATCGTTTTCATGAGTTTGGCATACGTTAGATGTATAAATAACACACGTTGTGAACTAGATTGTTGTGATTGTTGGGTTGGGGGAGTTGTAAGTCGTGAGGTCAGAGCATGGACTTGGCTAGTGGTGTTGAGCTTTAGTGGATGCTGAGTGTTTTGTTGGGCAGTGTGTCAGTCCACAGAAGGGGTCAGGAGATCGTTAGTCGAGAGTTGAGTCAAAGTAATGTGACTGAGGAGTATATTGTTCCGCATATGTAGTCATGTCTCAGCGTCCATGTGAACCAAGTTCATGTTTTTGTGCTGTCAAAATAAAACACATTATGTACCATGAACCTGTAGCGTTGTTTGAATCAAACTAGTTCGTGGTATGACCAAGAAAGATATGCCATCGGAGTTTATAGACCAGGCGAAATAGTTCACATGCATCAATAGACCATAGACAACGGAAAAAGGCCATACTAACACACTTAAGTGATTCTATTATTGAAGTGCAAAGAGATGTACTTAGCGTCAACTATCGACCTTACCCCAGGCCAATACGTCCTTTCTTCAATGTCTCAGTCAGTTCAGTATCGATATTTCTTTTCGTGTTTGGATGTTAGAAGTCCATATTTTTCTTCTATATTTTCAAAATGGTTGCCTGATTATTCAATGGCAGGAGCTCGTTGTCTTCCTTTTATTAAAACAATCGGCTTAAACTGACGTACTGTAGTGCCTGCTGTTGTACTGTTGTACTGTTGTACTCAGTGAGTGATGCGAAAGCCTATGGAAAACCATTTTACCAACTATTAATTATAAAGTGCTCAGTGCATTTTGCTCCTAGAAATAATGAACGCTATTATATAAGAAATGTAAGCTTTCATGTCCTTAGTGGCTCGTGGAATCTATTCCCCAGAATAAGGGTAGCTAGTGACACAACTAACAGGAGAGTAGTTCGCAGCTCCACCAGCAGCAGGTAGTTAGCAACTCTACCAGCAGCAGGTAGTTAGCAACTCCACCAACAGGAGGTAGTTAGCAACTCCACCAGCAGCAGGTAGTTAGCAACTCCACCAACAGAAGGTATTTAGCAGCTACACTGGCATGAGGATAGGTAGCAACTCCAACAGCAGGAAGGTAGTTAGCAGCTCCACCAGCATGGGGTAGTTAGCAGCTCCACTGGAAAGGGGTAGATAGAAACTCCACCAGCAAAAGGTAATTAGTAACTCCACTAGCAGAAGGTAATTAGTAACTCTACCAGCAGAAGGTTGTTAGTTACTCCACCAGCAGAAGTTAGTTAGTAACTCCACAAGCAAGGCGTAGTTAGTAACTCCACCAGCCGACAGTGGTTAGTAACTCAAACCGCAGGAGATAGTTTGCAGCTCCACAAGAAGAAGGTAGTTGGTAACTCCACAAGCAAGGGTTAGTTAGTAACTCCTCCAGCAGAAGGTAAGTAACTCCACCAGCAGAAGGTAGTTAGTAAGTCCGCCAGCAGAAGGTAGTTAGTAACTCCACCGGCCGACAGTAGTTAGTAACTCCACTAGCAAGAGGTAGGTAGTAACTCCACTAGCAATGAGTAGTTATAAACTCCGACAGCTGTAGAAAGTTAGCAACTCCACTAGCAGAAGGTATTTAGTAACTCCAGCAATAGAAGATAGTTAGTAACTCCACCAACAGAAGGTAGTAAGTAACTCCACCAGCCGACAGTAGTTAGTTACTCCACTAGCAAGAAATAGTAAGTAACTTCACAAGCTGAAGGTAGTTAGTAACTCCGGATTACAGCATGCCGGTCCAATCCTTTGCAAGCAAGACCGCACTGGAAAAACTGGGCCGAATCCAGAATCAGGCACTGAGATTCATCTGTGGCGCATACAGGACTACTCCCACAGCTGCTGTAGAAGTCTTGGCCAATGTAGAACCGCTACAAATTAGGAGGGAAAAATCCATTTTAAATACCGTAGAGAGGTACCGACGGCTTGGTGAAAATGAACCAGCCTTTCAAATGCAAAATAACTGGGTGGGCGGCAGGAGACTAAAGAGGTCCTCTTTCATGCACCAGGTCGTGGAGCTGGAGAGGACAGTCCCCCTGCCCCCAAATAGAGAACGTCTGACCCAAATCCCAGTTAACCCGCCTTATGCGGAACCCTCACGTCCCTCCATACATTTGGCCTTGACAGATGCAGCAGTGACGAAGCGCAGCCCTGAACATGTACAGAGAGTGGCTGCCCTTGAGACCATGGATGTGTTCACGCACATACCTGTGAAAGTGTTCACGGACGGCTCTGCCGACTTTAGGAAAAGAACTGCTGGGTACGGTGCGCTTATTCAGTACCCAGTAGGTGGACCACCTAATGAAAAACTCTCCGGGCCTTGTGGGACTACAGCGTCAAACTTTGACGCGGAGCTTATAGCTATGCACAAGGCCTTGGAGAGAGTCCATATCACTCTGGAAGGGACGGAACATGCGGGGCTTGATATTGTTGTCTTCTCAGACTCAAGATCTGCTCTTGAGATCTTGGAGAAGAGGCAGGGTACCACACGCCTGGTCGACGTCATTCACAACGACATATGCAGACTTGGTGAAATAGGGTGCAAGGTCGAAATGCAATGGATACCAGGGCACGTCAACATCAGTGGCAATGAGATAGCTGACACTCTGGCGAAAACCGGGGCTGCCCAGCCTCAGCCAGAAGTACCAATGACTTTCTTGGGAGTCAAAAACTGGCTGGCGGACCACTTCAGGCAGAAGTGGTACAGGCAATGGGCTGACAACACGACCGCCAGAGGCGTCTATTCGAACTTGCCTACTCCTAGCAAACAAGACCCATGGTGGGGGTTAGGGCGTAGATTGCAGAGTCTAGTGACGCAGATGCGCACCGAGCACTGCCCCTTGCGCACATATTTCTGGAGGTTGGATAACAACAGAGATCCTACCTGCCGGCATTGCAGCCTGGCCCCAGAGACCTTAGAACATCTGTTGACTGAATGTCCCGCACTAGATCTCCCGGGGGAAGCCAGGGCGGTTGGAGGATCCTTTGTGAGGGAAATGTTGTATGGCTCAGCTCAACAGATGGAGTTGACAGCCAATTTACTAGCCGGGGTCATAAGAGAGTAATCTCAGACCTTCACCAGAATATGTGCGTTAGTTAGTAACTCCGACAGCTGAACATATTTAATAACTCCAAATGCAAGGGGTAGTTAGTAACTCCACCAGCAGAAGATAGTTAGTAACTCCACCAGGAGAAAGTAGTTAGTAACTCCGAAGGAAAAATGTAGCTAGTAACTCAACCAGCAGAAGGTAGCTAGTAAGTCCAAAACCAGAAGATAGATAGTAACTGCACTAACAAGGAGTATTTAGTAATTAACCAGCAGAAGGTAGTTACTAACTCCACCAGTAGAAAGTATTCCACCAGCAGAAGGTAGTTAGTAACTCCCCTAGCAAGGAATTGTTAGAAACACCACAAGCAGAAGGTAGTTAGTAGCTTCACTAGCAAAGGTAAGATAGTAACTCCACCAGCCGAAGGAAGTTAGTAACTACACTAGCAGAAGGCAGTTAGTAACTCCACTAGCAAGGGATAGTTAGAAACTCTTCCAGCAAAAGGTAGTTAGTAACTCAACCGGCAGAAGTTAATTAATAACTCCACCAGCAGAAGGTAATTAGTAACTTCACAAGCAGAAGCAAATTAAAATTTCACCAGCAGAAGGTAGTTAGAAACTCAAACAGCAAAAGGTAGTTAGTAACTCCACCAGCAAGGGGTAGTTAGTAACTCCACTAGCAAGGGAAATTAGTAACTCTACCAGCAGAAGGTAGTTAGTAACTCCATCAGCAGAATGTTAGTTAGTAACTCCACTAGCAATGGTTAGTTAGTAACTCAACCAGCAGAAGGAAACTCTACCATCAGAAGGTTTGTTAGTAACTCAACTTGCAGAAAGTAGTTAGTAACTCCACCAGCCAAAGGTAGTTAGTAACTCTACCAGCAGAAGGTAATTAGTAACTACACTAGCTAGGGGGAGTTAGTAACTCAACCAGCAGAAGGCAGTTAGTAACTCCACCAGCAGAAGGTAGTTAGTAACTCCACTAGCAAGGGGTAGTTAGTAACTCCACCAGCAAAAGGTATTTAGTAACTCCACCAGCAGGAGGTAGTTAGTAACTCAACGAGTAGAAGGTAGTTAGTAACTCCATCAGCAGAAGGTAATTAGTATCTCGCCTAGGAAGGGGTAGTTAGTAACTCCACCAGAAAAAGTTAATTAATAACTCCACTAACAAAGGGTAGTTAGTAACTCCAAAAGCAGAAGGTATTTAGTAACTACACTAGCAAGGGGTAATTAGTAACTCTACTATCAGAAGGTAGTTAGTAACTCCACTAGCTAAAGGTAGTTAGTAGCTTCATTAGCAAGGGGTAGATAGTAACTCCACTAGCCGAAGGAAGTTAGTAACTCCACCAGCAGAAGGCAGTTAGTAACTCCAACAGCAGAAGGTAGTTAGTAACTCCGACACCAGAAGGCAGTTAGTAACTCAACCAGCAAAAGGTAATTAGTAAC